GCGTGCGCGGCGGTGCTCATCCGGACCTCAAGCGCTGCATGGTCCCCTGGATTTCGAACGCCGGACCTGCGGGGATCCCGCTCACCCTGTCGACTATCCGCGACCACGTGGCGGTGATTGCACGCGACATGGGCAAACCACCCTCTTTCTATTGCTTTGTCGGGTGGGTTCGCCGTGCTATGCGGCGAAATGGCATCCGCTGCGAGGCTGCCGATCAGGACATGGCGGCGGTGCGGACTTGCCGGGAGAAGCTGCCTCATCTTCTCAGGTACCTTTCCATTTCGCCGCGCGATGTTCACAATTTTGACGAGACGTCGCTGTGGATTTCGGTCTTTCCGTGGAAGACATACGGCGGTGCGCGTGTGGCGGGCCGCAAAATCGCAAAGGAACGTCTCACCGTCGGCCTTCTCATGAACGCGGACGGAAGCCACGCGTTCCACCCGCTAGTCATCTCCAAGTCCAAGTGACCGCATGCCTTCCGTCCGGATTACGACCCCAATGCCATTTGTTACTGGCGCCACAACGCCAAGGGGTAGATGACTTTGGCGGTGAGTATATTTCATGTCGTATGAATGCGAGCGCGCCAAGTTACTGCTTTCGCTCACGTGTATTCCGATTCATGCCATCTCCGCATGCTCATGCCCACTCACCATTGTTTTCCGCGCCCCCCTCTGTTTCCTTGGCAGCTTTTCACGCACTTCATGGAGCAGCTTGATGCTGCTATGTTTTTAGAGGAGCGGAGCATCGTCCTACTCGACAATGCTTTTAGTCATGTGCTCAAGAGTAGCACGCAGAGTCTGAGGACATCTTCGGCTTCCGCACCCGGTCCCTGCGCAACATAAGGCTGGTGTTCCTACTGCCGAACACCACCTGCTTCACCCAGCCGCTGGACCAGGGCCTCATCACGATAATGAAGGCTCGGTACCGCCAGCACTGGCTCGAGGCGGTAACGGTGTTGTGGGTGGATGCCGGCTCCACGACGGCTCTGGCGCGCTACAAGCCGAACATCCGCGACGTCCTCGATTGGCTCTAGGACGCATGGATGAACATCCGCCCGCGCACCATCCAGCGTTGCTGGTGGCGCACGAGCTGTCTCTCGCTCGCATGGGCCTTATCCTTGGCCCACGTGGGCGCCGCTGGACTCACGGGTGGCGGTACAGATTTCGACGAGGAGATCGGCGACGTGGGCGTTTTGATCGACCGGCTTGCACTCGGTCCGAGTGCAATGCCTGCCGTCGACTTTGTCATGATTAATGACCGGCAGCCAACGTGCGCCGAACCGGGCAAGGATCCCCTCGCCCTCGAGCCCGCCTCGGCGCATTCCGCGCAGTCTTGGGAACCACACGCGACCATGCAGGCAAGGTACGACGATGTGGACCCGGCGACGCGTGAAGCACGTTGCACAGCACGGGCGGCATATGAAATGATCATCAGATATGCGCGCGCGACATGTATCAACCCCCGCGAGCTGTCTGAAATTCGCAACCCGATTATCATCAAGCGCATGGAGAGGGCAAGCCCGCATATCAACCTCAACACGACGCCGATCGCCACTCCCGTGCCTTTTGTTACGCCTGATGGCGTGCGCCCTCGTCCACGCGGTCGCGTCCTCCCAGCGTGGATGACGGCGCCCTCCCCCCGACATGCGCTGATTGACCCCAGCACTCCTGCCGTCATGGCCGGTTGTCAGAGGTCCACTGGTGATCCCCGATCGATCCTAGGGAAGGGTTACAGGCACGTTTGCCTGGGGGGTTATGGGCACACTGACCCGCTACTGAAACAAGCCCTTTTATCCCAATGGTCTAGTGGTTGGGATTCTGAGATGGTATCAGAGCGAAGGTCTCGGGTTCGAATCCCGGTGTATGCACTTCGGGCATCCCAATGCAGGGGGGGTGTCAGAGGTCCACTGGTGATCCCCGATCGATCCTAGGGAAGGGTTACAGGCACGTTTGCCTGGGGGGTTATGGGCACACTGACCCGCTACTGAAACAAGCCCTTTTATCCCAATGGTCTTGTGGTTGGGATTCTGAGACCGGTTTCACTGACGCGGTTGAGTGGGTGCGTTTGTGAACGTTGTAGACTCCTATCAGAGGAGTCGGTTTTCCCCTCCCGCCTGGCACCAAACTCAACCTCTCACTGACATTACACCAATGTCAGCGTTGACTGGTTTAGTTTTGAGCGTCCCAATTGTCGAGCTGTGATTGGCTTAGGAGATCAAAAACACATTGGACGTGGTTGGGTTGTCAAATGTCAATGTTTGTGAGTCGGTGGGTTGTCACATATAAGAGGGCGATACAGGAATGGGAAAACAATGTGGTAACTACATCTACACAGATGGAACAATGGCAGCTACCCCTCACTGTTCCGGTAAAAACAAACCAGTTACATACTGTTTTTTTTATATAAATACTCGATGTACGTGCACCGCAGCCCAAACGCAAAAGCACATGACTGTGGCATCTGTCGTGGTTTCTAGAATCCGAACCATAGGTGTGTTTGGATGGGTGACATGACAAACAGTGGTGGTGTTTTGGTTGACCGTTTGGGGAACATACAGCTGCATACTGAATTGAGAAATGCTGGTGGGTTTTTAGTTTACACCCTCATTCTCGTTAGACTGGCATCTGTTATACTAACTAGAACGCCTTGTGTAACCGCAGCGGACCGAAGAAGGTCCTATCACATGCGTCATAGTGACAATTTGACCCAAGGCGTTTAGTCAAGGTTTTATACGTTCTAGATTGGTACTGTTGCTTCCAAAGCGGTTGGGACAGGTTTTCAGCGTCAATGGTTTTTTACGGCCCAAAGCTTGTTTCGCCGCCTCGTGCGACTTTGTCCGCAACCGAGTTATCACACCAGCCCGCTACGTTCAAACACTGTAGCTAGTGCTTCCGTCGGTAAGATGGCTGAGAACGAGGGTATACACCTAACCCCGCTATTTTTTTTGGGTATATTTTGAACCCCCACGTGTGCAAAGGGGTATGCACGCTTCATATATATTTTCCTCTAGGGTTGTGTCGGATGTCATACGCTCTACACACAGTGATGCTCCTGACTCCTGAAAGCTACGCAATGGGATGTGAAACAGAAATACAGACTTCACACGAGAGGAAATTGTCTATACTCGCCCAATTGACATCACTCATAGCCCGCCATATCTATGTGTCTACCCCGAAAGAAGGGTAGAGTATATATGAAAAGCGAAAACAGTGCACGGTGGCGGATTGAAAATAGCGGTGGTTACTGGGAAGGTACTCTCGAGAAGGTACTACAGGACAAAATTTGCTTCGTGCAAACTTAGGTGTACACTACAAGGAAGGTGCACACAATGCCCAACCCATGCACGCGAATTTGCCTTGCACATTTCAGAAACACCGCATCCGGAGAAATTTTACGGGGCAGTTGCACCCCGTGCATAAGCCCATATAACAAGTGACAAACGGTCTGGAAGACGCCAAAGCCTAGACGTGTAGTACAAGACGGGCTCTGTTGACCGGGTTCGGGCTGGTTTTGTGGCCAGATACAAACTCTGCGAAATGCGGGGATGAAGCACAATGGGCCTCGCTAGCAACTTCGCCTGTGAGTGGGTGCCACGTAGGGGGTTTCATGGTGCTTCAAACAGACTTGAGCAAGGTTCACCGTGCCACACGGACCTTGCCCAAACACGGTACAAACCCCTTTTGAACCGTTCGTTGTTCAAAATACACACGTCACAACTCGTAGTTGTGGTAACAGGGTAGCCCCCGCCACAAATGAAGGTTGAATGCAGGGCTTGAACTTGACATTTCGTGCACCAAGCCCACTACTGAACGCGCTCCTCACACTCACGCTGGATCACATCTGGCCTGCATAACATAGCTAAGAAACTCACTCGACAACTAGTATCTCCTTACCTACGAGGCTAGCCATGCCTCGTCTTTACCGCCGCTCCCAGCTCGCCGTGCATATCAAGAGAGCTATCTGTGCCCACCATGTCGCGAACCCTCGCCTGCGCCACGTCGATCTTGTTCGCTGGTGTTTCACCCGCTTCGGAATTCGGCCTGACCGTTAGACGATCGGTCGCATTCTGAAGGGGTCTGAACGATGGGCCACCACTACGACGAAAAACGACGTCGTCCGCATCCGGACCGGCGCACACCCAGAACAGGAGCGAGCTATGGCTAGCTGGATTGCCAACGCGGTCCCGGCTGGCGTCCCTCTCACGCTGGCGACCATTCGGGACCATGTCGCGACCATGGCACGTGGCATGGTCTTGCCGGCGACATTCCGCTGTGTCAGAATATTATTCTTATGTTCTAGCCTGTAGTGGGGTGCTCTATAGCGAGTACAACCCTTCTAGGGTTTGCTATTTGTATCCCCATTTCTGCTAGTTCATTCCTCTTTCTTTCTTCAAACTTTGTCACGCTGCTCGATCGGCTGGATGAGCCGTGCATTGCACCACCAAGGTGTTCGTTGTCCGAGCGCAAGGCGGCTAACGAGGACATGGCCGTCGTGCGAACTACTCGTGAGAAGCTTCCGCAATTGCTCATGCATCTCTCGGTTCGGGCGCGAGATGTGTACAATATTGATAAAAGGGCGCTTTACATCTCCATGCTACCCCGAAAGACTTACGGCAACGGGCGCATGGCGGGTCGGAAGGTGCCCAAGGATTGCCTGACTATCGGCTTCCTTGTCAACGCCGACGGTTTGCACTCGTTCCGCCCGTTGGTCATCTCGAAAGCCAAGCGGCCCCATGACTTCCGCCTCGATTATGATCTTGACGAGGTCTGCTATTGGCGCAGCACGGCCAAGGGCTGGATGACTATACCTACGAGTTATAGGGTGGGACGGGCTACAGTAGAATACCATGGTTTCGCATTCATCCAGTCTTCGGTTATTCGCTTTTCCAGTTCTGTTGTTTGGTATATATTTACAATTGATACATTGTATGTGCTTCTCCCTCTTTCCCATGCGCAAAAACGCAGGTTTTTGCTCACTTCATCGAGCAGCTTAATATTGCGATGTACGCTAAGGACCGTAACATTGTTATTTTGATGGACAATGCTAGCAACCACGTGCTCAAGTCGGAAGAGGTTGAGTCGGAAGACCTCTTTGGCTTCCGCACGCGTAAGCTTAGCAACGTCCGCATCGTGTACTTGCCGCCAAACACCACGGCCTTCACCCAACCCCTCGATCAAGGGATCATTGCAATGGCGAAGGTGCGGTACCGTGCGCATTGGCTAAGCGCCTTCACGGCGCTGTGGTCGGCGGATGGTGCAACGTCCGCGATGGCTCGGTACAAGCCGAACTTCCGCCACGTGCTGGCCTGGCTGTGCGACGCTTGGATGAACATCGAGCGTCGCATAATACAGCGGTGCTGGTAGCGCACCGAGTGCCTCCCGCGTGTGTGGGCAATGGAACTTGGGCACGTGGGCAACGGTGGCAACGATGTCAACGGCGGCAACGGCACCGCCAACACTGAGCTCGAGGAGGCCGTGGGCGACGTGGGGATTCTCATCGATCGCCTCGGCCTTGGATCGGTCGCGATGCCGGCTGGTGACTTCGTCCGCATCGATGACAACCAGCCGACTTGCGCCGAACCGGGCCAGGACCCGCTGGTGACTGAGCTGCCGTTTGCCCCGGTTGCCGAGATGTGGGAGGCAGCGGCTAGCAAACAAGCCGTCTATGACGACAGCAATCCCGCCAACCACGAGGCACGGAGCTACGCGCGCACCGCAAGTGAGATGCTTATCAGCTACGCGAGGGCCACCGGCATCACCTCGCGTGACCTCTGCGCACTTTTTGACATCCGTAACCCCATCATCAGGAGCCGGATGGAGCGCACAGGCCCAGCTCTTAATCTGAATAGCACGCCTCCTCCCGCCATGCCCCTTGGCGCCACCCCGCCTGCTGAGACCCCTCGTCGCTGTGGCCGTGTGCTGCTGGCGTGGATGACGCAGCTGACGCCAGAGTGGGTCAGTGTGGCTCAGCAGGCGGCATGCCGCCAGGAGCTCATTGACGCATGGGCGCTCGCCGTTATGAGCGGCTACCTGGCTGTTGCCGAGTGGATGCAGTTGTGAGGGGCTTGAGACCCCTTTGAGGAGGGATGGTCTCCTCCTGTGTAAATGTGCAAGACACGTGCACATTTACACCAACATGTAGCAATTACATGGACATTGCAAGGGTGCAGGTGTGGCTTGTTTATTGGCGCGTTGGTTAGGAGAGAGTGTTTGTGACAAGGTGGAGTGTGCTTTGTACTCACGTGCCATGCTGAAGTGGAAAAACGGTGGTAACCAGGTTCACGAACACTCAACAAGGCTTGCGAGCCAACACTATGCGGGGAAAAACAAACGTATTACAACCCGTGTTTTTTTTAACCACCTTGAGACCCTGGCGAAACTCGGCGAACTGGTCGTATTGCAAAAAAGCATTTATAAGCCCAGAGCACAACCCAAGTACGGGGGACTCAAACGAGCATCAGGTGTACTCTCAAGAAGTACTACTAGACAAACTTAGCACTGCCATGGAAGAGTTGCGTGGATATTGAATCTCAAAGCATTCAGTTATTACACCTGTTCTTTAATATTTTCACACCCCGTAAATCGTACACCGGGGTTTGTCTGTTATGGGGGGTGTGGAGTCATCCCCAACAATACTGTTGTGCAGAATTTCACGCGCGTTGAGTCAGCGTGCGTGGAAAGCGAAGTAGCGAGGTTGACTCAACATCGCTCTACGGTACGAACAGAATAGGCATGAAAAAGGGGAGATGAAGTGAAGTGCTGAAGAGAAAGAAAATTAGAGTACAATAGAGAAAAACAAAACAGAAGAACAAAGCAAACAACATAAGCAATAATAGAAACCAGAAACGTGAAGGGGAATGCAAAGGGACCACGCCGTGAAGTATATGACACTCCACACTACCCGTTAAGACAGGCATATGTGAACTCCACATTATCTTTTGAAAGAAGTTCCATAAAGTTGCTGTAGGGACCAGCACGCTTGGTAGAGGGGAAAATGTACTGGTAGATGGTTGAATCGTCGTCGAACTCATGCAACACAGTTGTTGTTGCTGCTGCATCTTCATCAAACATACGTGCCTCTGAGGGGGTTGTGTCGTTCAGATCGAAATTAACACCGCTGCTTCCGGGTCCCGTAGTCCACCAACTCCTTCCCACCCATTCGGCATCGTTTTTCAAGCGAGTAGAAGTTGCGATGTGTGCGTCACACGCAACAAACTCTTGACGGTCATCATAGTTACGTTGATCTTCAGTTTCGACAACAAACAGACCAGCAATGTGATATCGGCATCTTCCGGATCCTTTCACAAACCTTGAAAGATAGGTTCCAATCCCTATTCCTTCAACCACTTGTAGGGCACCACGCCCGAACGTCGCCAACACCTCCTAATGATCTCCCTCCCTATGGTGCTCCACACTCTGCAAATCAACATAATGGCCAGCCGCAACTCTGCCCAAATCGATTTATGTTCCTCTTGATCACGCGTCCGTTCAAACTCATCGATCAACCACGCGACCAAAAGCTTCTGATAGCACAACTTCAACGTTGCGGTGGCGCCTTGGTCCAAGGGTTGAACGTGCGATGTGCAGTTGGGGGGGAGATAAATCACCCTCAAATTGGGAAACTCGACAATCAGTATGTTGTCCCACCAATAATCGCACTTTCCTTCGAGGTTGTTCACGTTGTGCGAGCTAGCATTGTCCACTACGATTGCGAACTTGCAGTCTTTATATTTCATGGAGCCATCCACCGCGTCCATCCACTTGGTAAAATCTAGACAAGAAATTGAACTCAATGCAGAGATTCGATCAAAAAACTTATCACATGATACTCATGCATATTTAAAGATTACAACACACAAAAAGAATGGAGCCAAACTTACCTCTGAAGATGCACGCTTGTTCGCATGATATCATTTGTAGTCTATGAGAAAATCATCCTTGAATGAGGTCGGACGCAATGCCTTTCCGAGTACGATCATTTTCATCAAGTCCATCCCGTCGGCGTTGCAACATAGTGCAAGGGTGAAACGCTCTTGGTGAAGCCTCCCTCCGGCCACCGATTCGTTCGCATACGTTCACCGTGGTCGTCAACCGAAAAAAGGTTGTGGTCTCGTCCATGTTATACACATTCGAGGGCTCATAGCCGAAATCCTTCAAGAGTTTTGGAATGGTCTCTCTAGCTAGGCCTACGCATTCGGAATTGGCGTCTTTTGCTTCACCCTTCCTCTGGTAGGATGACATGCCCATACGTGCTAGCGTATGGCAAAGTCATCCTGGAGAATGTCAGAATGTTATTATCTAGCTTGTAGTGGGGTGCTCCATAGCGAGTACAACCCTGTTAGGGTTGCTATATGTATCCCAACAGCTGCAAGTGAAACCCCTCCTTTGTTCATTTCTCGCTTGCCTAGCTAGGTCAACCCTAGCTATGGCTTCTCACTGTCCTTACTATCTTGACATGGTATCTTGAGCGAGCACGTTCCTGCCGCTTACCTCAATGGGCCCACCATCTTACTGCTTCCGCTGCTACTGCTACCCTGTGTGTTGCACGCCCCGTGGCGTGCGACGGATTTTTCATCCCGCCGCGCGCTCGGAGCGTGCGGCGGTTTTCTGCCCGCCGTGCGCCCCGAGGGGCGCGGCGGCTTTCTGCCCCGTCATTCCGCGCGTCGCCCCCGGGAGGCGCTGCGACGGGCGACGGGGACCCGCGCGTCGCCCCCCGTCGCCCGTCGTGGCCCGCGCGACCTGCGTAGGGCCCGCGCGCGGCTAGTACAGCCTGCGCGCGGCCCGTACGGGCTGCGCCAGGCCCGCGCGCGGCCCGTACGGGCTGCGCCAGGCCCGCGCGCGGCCCGTACGGGCGGCGCCAGGCCCACGCGCGGCCTGTACGGACTGCGCCAAGCCAGGGCGCGCCTCGGGCAGCCCGTGCGCGGTTCGTATGGGCTCCGCCAGGCCCGTGGGCGCCCTGTTTCCTCTTCCCTTGGGCAGCCCGCTGTCCCCTCGCGCTTCTGACGGCGCCCCACCCCTGCTGCTGCCCGTGCTCCTGAATTAGGGTTTGGGGGTGGAGCGTATGGGGGTGCCGTCTCTGTGAACCGTCCCCTGCTCCTCCTCCTCCTCCGTCTCCCACTGCTGCAGCTGCCGCTGAGGGGGATGGATGTGTTGGAGCCGTTGGAGTGGTACGATGGGGTGACGTGCAAGTGGAGTTAGGGGTCAAGTAGTAGGTGCGTGGGGGGTGTGTGGAACAGTTGGAGGAGGTTGAGTGGAGGCAGCCGTCGTGTCGTCCGCAGCGCCTGTATTCCGGGGTGCTTGCCTCGGCAGCTCAGAGAGCGTGGTGCACCAGTCGCCCGTGGGTCAGTTGCTCCTGCCACTCGTCGCAGCTGCAGAGCCTGTTACTCCTGTATTCCGGGGTGCTTGCCTCAGTAGCCACTGAGAGCCTGCTGCACCAGTTGCCCGTGGGTCCGTTGCTTCTGCCGCTCGTCATAGCAGCAGAGTCTGTTACTCATGTATTCCGGGGTGCTTGCCTCGGTAGCCACTGTGTCAGCCGCCAGTGTGTCAGCCGCTTCTGTTGCCTGTGGGTCCGTCGCCCTTGCTTTGGTAACCCTAAGTCAGCAGCTCCTGTGCCCGTGCCTCTGCAGCTTCAGTCGTTGCCTCCCATCTTCTCTCCTTCCACAGTTCCTCCTCCTCCTCACTTGCCCGCTGTGATTACCTATAGCTTTGCTTGTTATTGTGAACTCCTACTATGCCTGCTCACTGTGCTGATTACACCCCACTTTGGCTATGGGGGTGTGTCAGAATGTTATTATCTAGCTTGTAGTGGGGTGCTCCATAGCGAGTACAACCCTGTTAGGGTTGCTATATGTATCCCAACTGCTGCTAGTGAACCCCCTCCTTTGTTCATTTCTCGCTTGCCTAGCTAGGTCAACCCTAGCTATGGCTTCTCACTGTCCTTACTATCTTGACAGAGAAGCCATGAAGTCGCTTGGAAGGCACATGGCTTTGGCAAACGCCTATGATTTTTAAAAAAAGTATGTGAAATGTGATAGGTAAGTTGGCAGCGGTTTGCATCACTGCCCACGCATGCAACCTAGACTCGAGAGCAGGGAACTTGCCTTGACCGAGACTTTTTCAGTCTGGCAGAAGCAAAGATGGAGCGGTCCATTTCGTGGAGTTCTTAAGAATTTTAGAGATCGTGGTACACCAAGTTGGTTTTTAAACTTAGAGAAACACCAACTCAAGGTACATGTAGCAAATTAGCAAAGATGCACCACCAAACAAGCAATTAACGAACTACACTACAATAACTACAGCAAGCATGATAGATATTAAATATAACTTTAACACACTCCCTTAGCCTACTTGCAGGAATAAATAGTGCATCAACACCCCCTGAAGGGGTACACCTGACGCAGTGGAAGATGGCAGAGAGTTAAATGAGGATGAGGAGGCGAGAGGGAGAGAGGAGAGGAGAGGGGAGAAGTACGAAGAAGGAGGTGAGAGAGGGATGAGGCGAGGAGTTGAGGGAGAGCCACCCGTGGCAAACCCTCGTAGTAACCTCCTTTTACAAAGGGGGGAGGTGAAAGAGTGACGAGGAGAGGAGGTGGGGGGAGCCAAGCACGGCGAAACCCCCCTTAGTAACCCCCAAATACCCACACCTATTCAACCACCCCCCCTTAACCTCACCCCCCATAACAGCCACCCCCGGGACCGTCCCACCCCCCCCCCCCCCCCCCCCCCCCCCCCCCTCTCCTCTTCCTTCCTCCACACCCCTGCCCCACCCACAGTAGTCCCTGCAGCGAGGTCTCTGTTGGCGGTGTAGCTGCTGGCGGGGTCTCTGCTGGCGGGGTCTTTGCTGGCGGGGGTCTCTGCTGGCAGGGTTTCTGCTCACGGGGACTCTGCTGGTGGGGTCTCTGCTGGCGAAGTCTGTGCTGGCGGGGTTTTTGCTGGTGGGGTCTCTGCTGACGGGGTCTCTGCTGGCATTGTCGCTACTGGCGGGGTCGGTGCTGGCGGTTCCGCGTGTTTGCTTGCTGGCGGGCTTGCGGGTCGCGTACGATCTGGAGCATGCAGTGGCC